TTTTATTTAACACTTGACTCATTAATTAATATAATTATATTATTTATCTCTAAAATTTAATTTATTAGTTGATATTTTTAACTTTATTAAATATTACTTAACATTTAACACATTACTTAACATAATTATATTATTCACTCTTTACTTAAATTATTTAAATATCTAATTTAGCTAAAAAAATAATGTGGACATCCTTTTGGGTTTATAAAAGTACTTCACATATAATTATAAAATATTTTAGAGATTGGCCTTCCAAATAAAGAAAAGTGGCTAGAAATTTTGAGGAATATTCATTTGCTCTCATTATTTGAATGCAATTTGCTGCTAGTGAATCCAACCAGTCTACAAGTTTTGTGTTATTTGCAGGATGTTTTTATGAACATCTTAATGTGGTGGGAGGATTTTGATGGAAAGGTTCCAACTCATGCAATTTTGAAGCCACGGCCTCAAATTTTTTACTGTATTTTTCAGTTAAAATTCACCTTTTCCCCTCATCCAAATGAAAGCTAACCTGAATCTTAGGCTTGGGACCTGAAAAAAAAATTGGGTTTTTGGGGAATTAACAGTTCAGAATTCTCATCTTTAGTTAAATTTTTTATTTGAGAAGCTTACTTAAATTAGTATGTAACAGATGCACGCTTTGTGATTCTGCTCAATAAATGCTTTAGAAGTTCATGCTGGTAGTTCCCATGGAATTGGTGCAATTGCTGGTCAATGAATAGGGGCCTAGTCCACCGGAAAATCTCAGCCAAGTGGTTCTTATTGTTGAAATTCACTTTCAACAACAAGAACCATGTTGCTGAAAGTGAAGAATACTTTTTGGGGGGAAAGTGTACTATTTAAGTATCAACAACGTGAGTCTTGTTGGTGAAAATTCATATCACTGATATGCTCCCATGTTGCTAATTAATTTATGGAATTGATGCAGCACCTGATCATGAATAGTAACCAGAAAATTTCAGCGACGTGGACCTTATTGGTGAAAATCCATATCACCGACATACTCCCATGTTACTAATTAATTTATGGAATTGGTGCAACATCTGGTCATGAACAATAGCCAAAAAATTTCAGCAACGTGGTTCTTGTTGCTAAAATTCATTTTTAGCAATAAAAACCATGTTGCTAAAAGTAAAGAACACTTTTTATGGAATTGGTGCAGTATTCGGTCATGAACAGTAGCCAAAAATTTTCAACAACATGGTTTTTATTGCTGAAATTCATTTTCAGCAACAGGAACCATGTTGCTCAAAGTAAAGAACACTTTTTGCTAAAAGGTGTACTATTTAAGTATCAACAACATGATCACCAACAAGCAATTTCATGTTACTGATACTTAGTTGCTGAAAACAAGAATTTTAGTAGTGATATCATTTTACATGTATATTTTATCAACTTTTTTTTTAATTATTAGCCACATTTATTTATCTCTTTTTATTAACTTTTTAGTTGAGTCAATTAAAGGAATATTTTTTAAAACTATTATAGGTAATCAAGTAAATTTAATTCTTTTCTTAAAAGAAATAGATAGAAATTTTTGAATTTTATTAAGGTTTAGAAAAATTATAACTAGAAAAAGAAATATTCCTAACACATATTACTATCCCTTTACTTGTAAACTTTGGATTGTCTAGTGTGAACTCATAATTTGCGATTCTATTCATATACATAAATGGGTTAAGGAAATACATGAGTGAAATATTTATTTATATTTGTATTTAATTTTAAAATTAATAGATATAAAATTTTAAAAGCACACCTCTTATGTTAAACTAATGCATTCAAAGAAACTTTTTTTTTTATTATTATGTTAGTTACACAACAGAAAATAATTCTCTCCCATCCCTTACCCCACCTCACCCCACCCCACCTTACCCCACCCATATACTAAGCGACTCAAACTTAAAATCTTTTACTTCTAGTGGAAGAAGATTATTACTTAGTTATTTAAGTCATTGGCGCATTTAAAGAAATTTATGTTTGTATATTATGTATGAACTAAAGTACATGTTTTGTAATAGATTTAATTGTATTTTAGTTTGTATTAAAAGGTTATAATATTTAATAAATATATAAATGCATCTACAAGTATACCAATACTCAACGAATTTAATAATAAAAAAATTTTAATATTTAAGTAAATACTGAGTATCAAAATTTTATATTAATTAATTTT